CATGCCTGGTGACCAGGTGCAGTTGCCCGAAGCTGGTACAAAGACTGAAGAAGAGGACTAGCAAGATGCTTGGCCAAGCAGCGGTACACAAAAACAGAGAGCTTGAGGCTAATACGCTGTTCCAAAGAATAGAGGTGATATAAGCGAAGAATTAGTTCAGTGGGCGTGGTACGATCGAGTCCAAACACTCTCTTCATTGCTATGTGACTAACGGTCACAATCCTATTGTACAGAGTTGTGCTTAAACAATGTAGGTAAGCATTACTGGCATAGTCTAGGGTAGACTGAATAATAGTCAAGTAGAATGTTCGCTTTGCATCGTTTGTTAAATTTCTACGGCCATGTCGGAAAGCAGCAACTTTAGCAAAAACCGAGTTACACAATTTATGGACCTGTGGCTGGAAGGTGAGATGCTCGTCTATCATTGCATTTGTGTACAGTGAAGCGACGCGGCTCTGTTCATGTACATTGACATGTACATGAATACATGAGTGTATCTCCTCTGCCATGCTTGTGGTCCAAACACAGGCGGCATGATGATTGTGTGACTTGCGGCCCAGCTTATTACACACACATGTACATGTACATGTGTGTGACCTGAGTACAATCATGCGATAAATAGAACAAATATTTAATTGATGCCAACATAACAGTTACGTGTAACAATCATGTTCCGTTTGTTTTCCTTTTGGGTTACATTTTCCGGTTTTCTGGGTTTGCATTAAATTTAATTATTTGTATTGCATTTTCAAAAAAATGTTCCGTTTATTTATTTTTAAACTCCGGCTGTGAAATACGCGCGGGGGACGCGAAACATAGATAAAAAAACGGTGTGGCCTAACGACTTTTGGATCGACTGGCCAGAAGTACAGTATAATTATGGTGGTTATACTTGTGAGGCCTGCATCGCCACTGAAGGTGTAAAGGCATAGTGGTGGCCTGCGGAAGCGAAGGCTAGTTTGTGTGTTTCTGAATATTCAAATGATGCTAACGTGGATCCCGCGAATATTATAATATACCGGTGGGCCCAGCGGCCCTCGACCTCGTGTTACACGTAGGTCACAGGTGTGATTTTTCTGCACCAGGAGTGGGTCCCTGACTGGGAGGGCACAGTCTGGTCACTACCGGTGGATGTGTCACTAGGCTGTGAAGGAATATCACACCAACGTGCGTGGATCCATACAAAAACCGGATCCAGAAGTGAGCGTTGTCATGTCTCCGGGCCGGCTGTGATGTAGCACTTTCAAGCCCTATTGAAACGTGTTCACTGCAAAAACTTGAAAGAGGCCATGTGATGTGGTATGACTGTTGAGACTACGTTATGTATATAAGTCATGGCTACGTTGGAGGTTGCTTAGAAAAAAACCCAGACACCTCAAACGTCACCATGGAAACCATTCGCGCTTTCAAAAATTCAAAGTAGTTCTGTGGTAGAAGTTTTGTTCAGAATTCGTGTATACACTAGTGCCCTCTGTAACCAGACGACTGGGCGCTCAAAAGAACAAAGGACATCCAGAACACAGTATGATGTATGGCTCTGATGTCTCACTTAAATTTCATCTCAATGGAGATCAAGATGTTGACGATTTTAGAAGTTCTCACCTTCAACGCGTCGTGAAAAATTGCTTGTCCAGGATGGAAGCAACATGCGCCTGCAATCCAGAAAGCACCGGAGGAATAACTAAAGGTATCCACGCCTAAATGTCTTGATGCTCTCAATATTTACCATCGTGATTGTCTTCCTCATCATAAAATTTCCCACAACCTTTGTTGTAGCATCGAAGTTCTCCTTCGGTCGCCATTTTTTTGAATGAAAAAAATGAGAAGTACATGTACCAGCTGACATAAAAAGTGGTAATTATTTGTCAACAAATCGAGAAAATCGCCAAAAGAAGGAAGTAAAAAATGATCTCGATCAGGACAACCGCGGCGCGCTAGCCGCGCCCGCGATCCATACCGCGCTTGGCCGCGTACCGTGCACTCGTACTCGTGATCGTGAACGCATGCGCATCGCTTGCAGTTGCAGTGTACCGGTACCGGTAGTACGCGATCCGTACGGTACGGTACAGCGCCGTATCACTGTACCGTACCGATGCATGCGATGGGTTTTCCGATTTTGCGGCGCACCTTTTGCTATTCCACCTTCGACTTCGTGTTCTTTCCAATAAAAAAGGGTTTTGTCATTTCTGATTAGACTATGCGACCAACGATCCAGGCCAGGGGCAGGGACCCTGCGGGAGCTACAACGTACATGTACATCGTACATGTACGTTGTATGTGTAGTTCAGTGACGACTCCCTTGGCTCGGGTAGGTCTACCAGGTCTACGGCCTGGCTGCCTTCGATAAAGGAACTGGACTGGACCTCAGGCTCAATCTGGTGCCGGAGAAGGCTATGAAGTAAAGGTACTTTGCCTGTTCAGGCGAAGACATTGTAAAAATAAAAGACCCGAACAACAAGTGTCAACAATAGCGGTCAATCGATGCCCCTAACCTCACTGCTTCCCTCTCTGTATCCCGTCTCTCTCTCTCTCTCTCTCTCTCTCTCTCTCTCTCTCTCTCTCTCTCTCTCTCTCTCTCTCTCTCCTCTCTCTCTCTCTCTCTCTCGCCCTTTGTCTCTCCCTTTCAAGTTTGTCTGTCTGTCTCTGTCTCTGTCTCTGTCTCTGTCTGTCTCCCTCTGTCTCCCTCTGTCTCTGTCTCTGTCTCTGTTTCTGTCTCTCTCTCTCTCTCTCTCTCTCTCTCTCTCTCTCTCTCTCTCTCTCTCTCTCTCTCTCTCTCTCTCTCTCTCTCTCTCTCTCTCTCTCTCTCTCTCTCTCTCTCTCTCTCTCTCTCTCTTTCTCTCTCTCTCTCTCTCTCTTCTCTCTCTCTCTCTCTCTCTCTCTCTCTCTCTCTCTCTCTCTCTCTCTCTCTCTCTCTCTCTCTCTCTCTCTCTCTCTCTCTCTCTCTCTCTCTCTCCCTCCCTCCTCCCTCCCTCCCCCCCCCTCTCTTCTCTCTCTCTCTCTCTCTCTCTCTCTCTCTCTCTCTCTCTCTCTCTCTCTCTCTCTCTCTCTTCTCTCTCTCTCTCTCTCTCTCTCTCTCTCTCTCTCTCTCTCTCTCTCTCTCTCTCTCTCTCTCTCTCTCTTTCTCCCTCTACCTCTCCCCTCCCCCTCGCTCGCTCGCTCTCTCCCGCTTTGAAATTCGCTTCCCATAGAATTGGGCACTAATGCCCGTTTAGCCTTGCGATGTAAAATAAAAACAACAACAACAATCAAGGACACCGATTACCGTGCAGAGTATCGAAATATATTTCAGGAGACTACATGTACATGTACCGGTAACTGACGAAGACAAACCTCACAACAGTCCCGAGGAGTGAGGAGTCAACAGTCTGAGGAGTCAACAGCCCTGAGGAGAGCTGCATCCTACTTACACGCTACAAAGCGCTGTAACCTCTGCTTTGCGGAGAAGCAGGAGATCTGTAGGGGCTAAGCAGGAGAAACGCTCACTGAACAGAAGGTATCAAACTTCAAAGCCTGGCCCTAGTGTTGGCACGAGTCAGAGAGCAAATTAATTTTACCGCCGTCTGTTACTTTGTCCCTAACGTTTGAGGCCTAAGCCTAAGGATGGCGATCGGCCCTCTTCGGAGGGGCAGTCGATTGTGCGGCGCGGAGTTGCCGTGGCCTTCTGGATACCCGGTTCCAGGTCAGCCCCTGGTCTGGGTGGATTCCTGGGGACTCACTGTGCCCATGCGCGGGGGGGGGGGGGGGGGGGTGCGTTCCGTTGTGCTGACATGTATGTCATGAAGTAAACTTGTGAAGTTATTGTGTCTCGAAGCTATCAATCTGTAGTTCCCCTTTTATTTGCTAATAATAAAAGGGGGATTACAATCATGTACTGTTGTACTAGACCTAATACAAGGCTACATTGTACATGACATTGTGTATGATACAATCATAATCATTTGGCTACCCTATGCCTAGGCGCCTATGCCTGGTCAGATCATGCTTATGTGAAATAATATTATTATGTGCAGCAGCTCATAAAGTAACGTTAGTTATGTACAATCATGCACATAGTCATTGTATGAGGTAGATGTACTTGTAGTAATATTCTTGTACTACTTGTAGACTAAAGCTATTATTGTACATAATTGTGATGTGTACATGTACATGACTGTACTCGTACTTGTCTTTATTGATTTTAGTACATGTAGTACTATTGTCACATGCGGCGCGCTATCTCAGTATCTGGCTATCGCTTGCGCTTTAGCGGGCATAATCTAGATAGAGCTAGCTACATTTTGTAGAGACCAGGGAGTCGTATAGACCCGGGAGGCGACACGAGGCCTTCCGGGCCGACTATGATTGACTCGCGGCACTTTCTCCCACTTTTCCCTCAGATATCCCCGGTGCATGCCCTGAGTTATAAACCAACTACTCCGCGTACTTATGCCATGGGACTTTGGGAGTGCACTCCTTGGGGAACGGACTCGTGCAGGATCGATAGGATCGTGGGAAATCGTAGCTCGAAAAGAAGAAGAAGAATGAACTACTTTTCCAAGTAATTAGTTGCATTTGATTATCGTGATTGAGGCAGAGAGTGCTGCTGATCGCGATCCAGATCCGGGTCAAGAATCACCTCCTGATCCTAAGGAAACTTCAGCTGACGTAGATCTACGTTCTCTTCGCGTGAACGCTAAGTCTGCTTGGGCCACAGGTATGGTTAGAATTCTAATTTTCTATGTTATTATATTTTTCAATTTGTCTTGAAACTTTCAACCTTGCTACTTAGCGGCTTCTGATCTGGTGCGCGTAGATCTACTGCATAAAAAGTTGCGAATAATCTTGAATTGGAAGAAATACTTGTGGGTTGATAGAGTGCAGTACTTGTTCAATGGTTTCTACAGAGCGTTCCGAATCCCAGCCGCTAAAAACCCACAGAAGGCAAGAAGCTTGCGTTGCAAAGCTGCTGTCCCGCCTGACTGCGGAGAAAGAAGACTCGTTTATGGTTGTTCTACAGCCGCTGCTGACGTCCATCAGCTCTGTCCTGCTCCCAGCTGCAGATAGGCCTGGATTTCAATGAGTCGTGTCCCAACTCCGGTGTGAACGATTCCCGACGTCAAGACGAAGTGGGGTCAATTCATGGGTGTTGCAAGGAAGCTGTCACAAGATGATCCGGTATTGAACGGTAGGTTTTGTAAAGCTGCTCTAACATTTGGATCCTATAAATTATAACATTAATTTTTTATTTGTATTCACGAAGCCATGCCCAAGACGTGCGACATAGCGTGCGTTCGTGTGTATGTGTGTGCGTGCGTGTGTATATTGTGTGCGTGTGTGCGCGCTTGTGTATGTCGTTAAATGCTGCCAGAGCACCCCTACCTCCGGAACCATTCGAGTAGATCCATTTGGGGAGGGGCGGATGGGCGAGTCCTGCTTGCCGCATTCAGTACTACATGAAAAAGTACTCACCCTAAGAAAACTGTGCGTGCGTCTCGTACACCCAACAAAAGTCAAGAGCTGGGAGTCGTACAAACCCATCAAAACCCTAGGGTGTGTGCGATCTCTGGTCAAGAGGGTGGGAACTGTTGCGTACATTTCCAACCAGGTCGTAGACGCGTCTGCAGTACAGTACGACCTCACACTTCACATAGTCATACGAGGATACAACTCTATTGATAGATAAGATAACGTGCTTGTAGATCTCTGCCATGCCAAAGTTGCATTCAGTAGAGGTAGTAGTCTCTGTCAAGCGTGTTTGCCATTGGCTCACGGCACTTGTAGCAGCTGATCGGACGATGCAAATGGACTCCCAGTCCACATTAGCTGGTTCTTGATATGCCTTCGAAAATATACCATGGCACGCACTTTCCACTGTTGTTACATAGGGCCGGAAGTGTGTTGTCCTGAGCTTGCCACGATACTTTCCGATCTGTCCATCTCCTCTCTTTGTTAAGTTGAAATTATTTGAAGAGCTGATGGCTGGTAACTTGCTGGTCAGCTGGTAGAAATACGTTTGCAAGTGTTGCTGCTGATTTGTACGTTGAATTGCCGGAGTGACGTGGCCTTGAGTAGTCTTCCCCAGCAATGAACTGAAGAGTAGCATGCGTATTGAATTCTCTTGTTGCCGGTTCATCGGCCCCTCTCCATGACACCGGACTAGACTGAATTACTGGCGTCCCTTCATCGTCCCTTCATCGGCCTGCTTTTTGCCTCGAACTTCACGAGTCTTGAAATCTGGACCCAACATAATAAAAGTGGGACTCAATTGCGCAGGTCAGACGATAAATTGATGCAATAAGGGGTCATCGCGAAAGTGATTAGTCATCCCTGAAAAAAACATCATTCATTTCGTACTCGGACCTCCTCTCCACCCTCCGAAATGAATGGACGACGAAAATCGCATGCGTGTACATGTGTATGCATAGCGTCAGTCGACTGAGATTTTAGCTCCCCCCCCCCCCCCCCCCCCCCGGAACGATCTTCGTTTCAGGGACGACCAAAAACTTGTGTGACCACTGACTTTCTTTCTCTGTTATCAAGCAGTATGCATTATTTGTAACAGTAATTACTTGTCTGTGTCATGTGGATGCATTGTCTTATTTCCTTTTTCAGGCTACAGCGCAACCAAGAGAACGAAATGTACGTCGCAATCAAGCTATGTCGTTGCCATCTTCTATGTGCCATGCGTTACCTGATGTGCCAGCCTGCTATGTCGGATACCGCTAACCATGCACCGACTAGGCGCCAGGCGCGAACTGATGGTGGTGGTGGTGCCAGAATAACTTTGCAGTTTAGAGAGCGTGTCTGGGCAGGCGTGTATTTACCCCCATATTGCCAGGTGTGTATTTACCACCATATGAACCAACCATAAGTGCAATTGCAGTGGAGTCTTCAACTTCATTCTCCCGAGTCAAGCTCCTTGTGAAGACATCTAAGAAGAAGATTGCCTGATGAGTCCAGCCGGGACGAAAGGTACGTCGCAATCAAGCTATGTTGTTGCTGTGTCATCTGCTATGCGCCATACGCTACCTGATGTACCAGCCTGCTATGTCGGACACCACTCACCCTGCATCGACTAGGCGCCAGACGCGAACTGATGATGGTGGTGGTGGCGGGAAGGAGAGCTCTGTGCCAGAATAACCTTTCAGTTTAGAAAGCGTGTGTAGGCAGGTGTGTATTTACCGCCGTATGAATCAACCACAGTACGATCAGCTGACGTTATAACTTATAAGGATGATCTCGTGCAGCGATATTATTGATATTTTTTAAGTCTTTTCTAAGGACTCTCCACTGCAGCGTTTTCTTTCCACTCGGTTCTCTTCTTTTCATCGCTCAGCTTGCACTTGCAATGCTTATACATACTGATCAATCCCGTTCAATTTTCCGTACATTTTTCTCAAAATCCATAGCGCGGACGAAGTAGTGATTTTCCGTACAAATATGGAAAATACGGAAGGTTGATAGCACTGTGTTGAGGCAGCTATTGTTGACTTTATTTGGAATTAATTCTGTCGTATTTGCACACATTCCTGAGTACATTGTATTACTACTAGCATCCAATGTGTGTTATCTGTGCGAGCTTCTAACCTTGTGAACATTCACCGAAGGTTCGGTTGGTGGCGCACAAGATCTTCCGGGATGGCTCTTGCGGGCTCTCAGCCCTGCGTTCACTGCATAAAACTTGGCAGAACAGTTCAAGTTATTTCCTCACTCTGTGACTCCCAATATTTCACATGTGCAATGATTATAAGTATTGTAGATCACTGGGACAGCGCCACTTTGTTAGCCGATGTTAGTCCTGAAGAAAAATTGACTTCATTGCCCTAAAGGTGAGAAGAAATTGGGACTATTTGTGAAGGAAAACTTTGGAAAATGTAATTTCGAATAAAAGTCATTTCGTTTATCTGGATAGGTCCAATATTTCACAAATGTGCAATATAAGTATTGTAGATCACTGGGACAGGGCAACTTGGTCTGTCGAAGTTAGTCAAGAGGAAAAAAATTACTTCATTGCCCTAAAGGTGAGAACAAATTGGGACTAACAGTTATTTGTGAAGGAAAACTTTGGAAAATGTAATTTCGAATATAAGTCATTTCGTTTATCTGGATAGGTCCAATATTTCACAAATGTGCAATGTAAGTATTGTAGATCACTGGGACAGGGCAACTTGGTCGGTCGAAGTTAGTCAAGAGGAAAAAAATTACTTCATTGCCCTAAAGGTGAGAAAATATTGAGGGAATTTGTAAAGAAAGGATTACCTCATCTTAGGTGGTCAAAGTGCCTCAGAGTTCGAGTGGCAGTGCAAAGCCAGTGAGTAAGCCAGTGAACAAGACCCTTTATTAGTGAACTCCTCAGCGATGGCCACAGATGGCTGTATTTCAGCAATGGAGATCGAAAGTCTGACCACAATTGTTCAGCGAAAGGACGAAGACGACGCTATGTACGGATTTCCCGCGCGCTATGGCCTATGTACGGACTTGTCCCACACCGAGCAGGTCGTAATATTTTGAATCGTTGAGTCGATCATGGTTGTGCACAAGTGATGCGCGTGTCGCCTCCCGGGTCTATACGACTCCCTGGTAGAGACTACTCTTGCAGACAAAACCTGACATTTTATGCTGTTTTTATCAGTGAGGCTGCACTGACTGTATAAGTGTATTAGCCCTGCATACATGTCGCTGCATCACCACACAAGGACATAGAAAGATAGATAGACAAGAGTCTGTACACGTACACGACATCAGAACCAAGCCTACTATACACTACAATGACAATGTAGGCTACAGACTGTATGCCGCCGCTCTACCGTCTACGTGCGAACATGTGCATTTCCCCGCTGAGCCACGCGGGTGTTTTCGGTTGACCGTTGATGCCATGCCGTGCTAAATCTGCTCCGCTGCGCGTTTCATCGTGTGCGGGCGTATCATTCTTTCCGCTGCGCTCTGCTGTGCTATTCAAAAATCGCTCTCTTGCAGAGGCTCTCTGTCGTTCCTGTCGGAGCTTGTGATCTTAGCTCAGTTTTGTCTAATTTTCTTTTCCTTTAGTAGTATCGTGACCCCGTTGAATCTCCGCCACCATGCCGAAGCAGGTAGGTTTGGAGAAGGTTTGCTTGCTCACTAGTTGGCAAGAGATGCTGATCACTGCACTGGCCAGCAGGCGGAGGACTGGGTAACCTTTGGAAATGAACGGTGTGTGCGTGTGTGTGTATGTGTGGCCATGTTCTTGAAGATAAATGTTCGCGTCACGACCATGGACGCCGAGCTGGAGTTCGCTATCCAGCCGGCGACCACGGGAAAGCAGCTCTTCGATCAGGTAGGGATGATCTTCCTCTTGCAGAGAAGTGCGCCTGCTGCTAGTGCTAGGTCTCTCATCGCCCCATTTCCCATGCTAGTAATACTAGTCCATAGGCTTAGCTTCCAGTCCGGGCTTGTCAGTCTGATGTGTGGTAGGTACAAACATGGTGGCGTACACTGTGTGATCAGCGTGATGCTGTGTTGTTCCGCATGCAGGTCGTCAAAACCATTGGTCTTCGGGAGATCTGGTTCTTTGGACTGCAGTACGTCGACTCCAAGGGCCTGCACACTTGGCTCAAACTCAACAAGAAGGTCAGCAATGCAACAATTGCCCAGTGAAAATGTTTGATGCTCCTGCGAATCTATTTTTTTGCCTGTGCAATCTGATACTATTACACATGGTCGCGTTCCCTTGTGCCACTTATCCGCAGGTGGTGTGTATGGAGGGTAGCTAGCTCTGGCTTAGCTATTCTTTATGTTATGTTGTGTATTCGTTGTCGCGGAAGTCTGAATCACGGACTGCTACCTCGTTCCGCGATCTGATGCTCCAAAATCTTTCACTAGGGACGATGAAGCACTCTCTGTTGTCTCCACGCAGGTCGAGCCATATTTGAGTCCACTCACATCAGGCTCGCGTATGTCGTGCCTGGGGGAATGAGCGTGGGTGCGGACCAGGCAGATTCTATCATCTATGCTCCGAGTTAGCTTGGTGTGTAACGCAAGCTGAGTGAGTGCTACAAATCTGATTTCCTGAGCTGCTGCGTGAAAGCGCTTCCCTTCTGGCGAGCAGATCACCCGCTTCAGGAAATGCACTGTTCTGGTTTTCGCTACAATCTACATGACCAGTGCGGTGAAACATGCACACAAGGCACACCCTAGCGCGCACAGCGATGCCCTGCTCAATCAAGATAGAGAACCGACGAACGATCGTCCATCGCTTACCAACACCGGGGATGGAATAGAAAATCCATTATGTCAATTTCACAGCAGCAAACGCTCTGTTTATCAATATGATACTGTGTTAGTGCGTGTGTGGCGAATATAGCCTGTCAATTATTTCTGCATTCATTCTCCGTGATCCAGCCTTCTGACACTGGCTGCGAAGAAAATGTGTGTGGTGAGAATGAATTGAAATCACGAGTGTTGTAGAATGACACAATTAGCATGCCTATTGAGACTGTGCAGTTGCTGGAGTGTACAGATTGTGATAGCACTTCAGCAAAGAGGAGGTGCATGTGATGTTTGGGGATGATGCAACGCAGTGTACACACGTGTGTGTTTGTGTGTGCGTACGCATGCGAGTGGGTGTGCGTGTATGTATGTGTCTACTTGTGTACTCACATGTGTCTGTGTGTGCGTGGTGTGTGCGTGTGCGTGTGTGTGTGTGTGTGTGTGTGTGTGTGTGTGTGTGTGTGTGCGCGCGTCTGTCGGGATACTCTGGCTGGGGCTGAATGGACACTGCTGGTCTTCATAATCATTCAAAGTGAAAAAGCGGATATTCCGCTTCTGCATGTGAGCCATGTCTAAATAAGCAATAACATTAACTCCGTTTATCTGGATGATTGAAGCGTAGACATTCTGCCAAAAACCCACATGGATTACTGCGTCATTAGTTGAAGGCAGACTGCCAGGATCCGAACAGCTTTTCTATTTTATTCAAAGTCCATTGACACTATGACAGCCAATAGGAATGGAAGGAGTGTACACTCGCCATGGCAACAAAAGAGACAAACATGTAGCTGCAGTACTAACACTAACACTAACAGTTAGCCGTATCAATCCAAGTATCCAATCCTCCCGACACTCCTCTAGTTCGTTATCGCCGTATTTGACAGTCAGGGTCATTTCATTGATTTGTCATCAACCACCACGCCGTTTCTGCGCTCTCCAGCCGACCCCTCGACACGTTGCCACAGCACACCACCAGCAAAGCTATACGTCCGTTGGCACTGATGTCCTTCACGCAGCTGTTTCAGTTACAGTTACGGTGTGGTGCTTCATGAGGGCTGAATGTTGCTGCTTACCCCTTCATTTCATTGATGTTGCGTTGTCCATGTTCTCCAGGTGGCCGTGCAGGACATCAAGAAGGAGACGCCAATGCAGTTCAAGTTCCGCGCAAAATTCTTCCCCGAGGACGTCGGAGAGGAGCTCATCCAGGAGGTGACTCAGGTAAGATGGCGTTGGACCACTAGTAGTATGTGTGTGTGTAGGACTTGAACGTGATGACGCGTCTGAAGTCAACTAATAACAACTTCTGCATCAGATTGGATCCACTCTGGCCATAGCTAAGCACCGTATCACGGTGGGCAGGCCCTCATGCCTTTTTTGATCCAATACAAAGAAGTGAGGGAAAGGGAGTACAACACTTTGAATGCTATAGCCAATACAGGAAGAAGTGTGTGCGTCGCAGTGCGTGTGTGAGAACTGAGAACTACTAGAATAATAAAGGGAGAAGAGGAAGAAATCTGGAAAACGCCGGCTTACATGTATATGCACGCATCCCACAGAGTGAGTGCATCTCTAAAAGGTGTCGTAAAAGAAGAACTTGTGGTTTGTAGACTGTGGGGAAACAAGCGGCAAAATGGGTATGCCATGAACAAGGTGAGCGAGGTCAAGCAAGGTTCAGGAAATAACACCTGATTCCAGGTACCCTGTAGGTGCATTAGAACCAGTCGACAGTTTTAAATGCTCTGCAGCAGTTGACAGAAAGCGCAATGCCTGGCGGAAATTCCGCGATGACCCCAGAAATGGAGCGCTCCAGTGTACGTACAAGCTAGCACTCCTTGACTCAACAAGATGTCTAGCAAGAGCCAAAGCCAGACATCTCGACCACGTCAAGCAACAGCTCCGGACGGGCAGCCTGCAGGACAGAGAGTGGTGGAGCGTGATTAAACGAGTTGGAGGGCATGGCCGGGACAGCTCCATCCCAGTCCTGGTTGACCCCGATGGCATGGAATGCACCAAAAGCCACGACAAGGCTAACGTCATCGGGAAGTACTTTGCCCAGAAGTGCAGCGTAGACGATGACTTTGCAGAACAGTCGGGGCCGTTCCCGCATGTCCGCCAGCGCACCGCAAATACGCTTGCAACAGTCCACTTCCGCCAAGCCACCGTACGCCGGACACTCCGAGCCCTGAACCCAAGTGAAGCCACAGGGCCTGATGCAGTACCTGCTAGAGTGCTGAGAAAATGTGCCGACTCTCTGGCCCTGCCCCTATCCAAGCTGTTTACCCTGTGCTTCTGCAGTGGTCATCAACCTGCCATGTGGAAAGCTGCCAACGTCGTACCGGTACACAAGAAAGGCCCCAAGTCGAACCCCAGAAACTACCGACCGATATCACTACTGCCCATAATGTCTAAGTGTATGGAGTCCATCGTGAACCGCAGCCTGTCCAACTTCCTGAAGAAGAATGACATCCTTTTTCACAGGCAGTTTGGCTTTCGCACTGGACTGGGAACCTCTGATCTGCTGATTGCTCTTCAGCATGAGTGGAGCCTTGCAGCTGCCAGTGGAGGCCTCGTCAGGGTACTCGCAGTAGATATTGCCGGGGCCTTCGACAAGGTCTCGCACAACGGCGTCCTCCACAAGGCTGAGCGGTGCGGCATAAGTGGCCCCTCCTTGCCTGGCTCCGGAGTTACCTGACAGACCGCCACATCCGTGTCGTCATAGGTGGCCAGTCTTCACCAACCCACCGAATCCAATCTGGCGTGCCACAGGGCAGCATCCTCGGCCCCACCCTCTTCCTTCTGTACGTCAACGGCGCAGAAGACCACCTGCCTGATGGGGCGAAGCTGGCTGTATACGCCGACGACACAACTCTCTACAAGTGCATCACCACCCGACTCAGACTGCCAGAAGAGACAGCAATCCTCCAGCAGGCAGTAGACTCACTGGCAGCATGGGGAAGCAGGTGGAGGATCAAGTTCGAGCCCACAAAGTTGCAGGCATTGACCATCAGCCACCACCGCTCGCCACCCCCCCCCCCCCCCCCCCCCGAACGCAGCCTAATTATACTGACCGCACTCCAGCTCTCTTCTACCCCTCTTTGATCCCCTTCGCTCAGTCTTAAAACCCGATTATCAGTTCACTCCATCTTCCTACGGTGCACTGCTTTTACTATTGTTTTGTCCTATCTCAATCTCAAATTCTCCCCATTATCGTTTGCAAAGCCGGTGCTTCCCTCTTGGATGCACATGTTTCTTTTCTCCTATGTATCGGCGCACAGGAGTAACGATGATTCCGAGACCTTTGGTCGGAGGAGTTACTTTTGCCCCGCCCCCACTTCCATCCAATATGCCACCGCCCCCGCTGTGCAGCATCTGATGGTACTGTGGTATTCAGTAAAAAATAAATAAAAAAACCCTTTAAAGTTAAGATGTGGTTGAGTGGTGGAGAAGCTGCTGTCCTACAGCATGCTGATATGGGTGCGTCATCAAGCGTGTTGCTCAATTGCCGAATCAGTGCCAGGCGAAAAGCTAGCTGGTCAAAGCGAGGTGGAAGAACAGCTCGGCCACGACGATCAGCAGTTCCATTAAAACGGTAGATTCTTAGGCCGGTCTATCATCGTCAGTAGAGCTAGACTCCTCACTGGTACTGTCAGTGACATCGTCCCTTGAGTCGTATCTAGCCAGAGCTGCCGCAGTTTCAGGTCCGTCGGCGCCGTCAAAAGTTTCGTCAATTACGTTACCGTCTCTGACAAGCTCTTGGTCTAGCTCTTCTTCTTCACTCGATGAGAGACCCAGCTCGGAGTCCTCGGAGGAGATTATAGGAGACTCTCCAGCTGAAGCTGCGTCAAAAACGATATCTAGAGCGTCCTCAACTGACACCTGTGGACGAGCCATACCGAAATCCGCACCGACGTTTTCCGAAACTTCTGTCAACTTTGCACGCCTTCAACAAACACTTTTTTAATGGCAATCCCATGCGACATGCACATCATCAGAAACTTCACCTTCTCCGTGACATTCCGGGCGAGTTTCAACTTTGTCTGTGCAACAGCAAGGCCCAGCGCGAAGTGTAGGGACCACAATGTGTCAACTGTTGCTATGACGTAGAAGTATGGTCATCTGTCGTTTCATGTGACAATCATCAGAAATCGTCGTCACACTGAGAGTTGGACTAGTACAAAGGAAATATTATATGCGGCCATGAAGCGAATAGCATTGGATCAAGAACTACCACATGCCTAACACCACTCGCCTTACTAATCATGCTTTCAATACAAGTAGTGCTATTTTTAGGATTTCAGTGTTTCTCGTGGTAGTTCTAGATCCAATTCTAGATCCAATGCTATTCGCTTCATGGCCATATACTATTTCCTTTGTACTAGTCCAACTCTCGGCGTGACGAAGACTTCTGATGATTTGTCACATGAAAACGACGTGAAAATCCGTACTTACTGTTCCTCTGGTGTCGCGGTATGAGTGTGTACACATTATTTCTATCGATTATTTCCAAGGAAAATTTGAGCTAATGTATATCAATTGTAGTGTAGCCTAGAGACCGTTAGAGAGAGCGTGTACAAGGTGTGTGTACAGGATGTATGGATTATTTCCAGGTTGTGTATTTCCCACTTGGCAGCTGCAAAACAGGTTGAGCCAGACCATGCAACATCTGCATACTCGACCTTGGCAACACACACGCGGTATGCTTTTCCATTTCCAGCGCCTAAAACTCCTGCTTTGCTTGTCTTGTGTCCGTTCAGCGTCTGTTCTTCATGCAAGTGAAGGAGGGAATCCTTAATGACGAGGTATATTGTCCTCCAGAGACAGCCGTGTTGCTGGCATCCTATGCGGTGAGTGACCACCTAGAACTGTATGTGTGTGTGTGTGAGTTTTGATGCTGGATGCTACTCCGAAGCTCGTGTAGCCTCGTACTTGGCCACCGATACGTAACTTCAGCCAGCATGGTCACTCACAATTCACTTGGAGTGCACCCTGATGAAATGTATTGGCAGTACAATGTGGTTATTGTTGAGCATTTTTACTTGTCGAATGCTGGCTAGGTCTGGCTAGAGCTTAGTGGGTTCTTGCCACAGATTGATCACTTTTTGATATCATATGCAATCTGCGGACAGAACTGTTTCGTCCTTTGTGGACTCATCAGCACAGCACACGGTATCATATTCATGATCTTCTTGCGCTTGCTTCCTTTGTGTGTGTGTGTGTGCATCCAGGTGCATGTGAAATACGGAGACCATGATACGGTGAAACACCCATCAGGTTTCCTGGCCAATGACCGCCTGCTCCCACAGCGGTAAGTTGCTTTTCTCTTTCTGTCAGACTCAGTGGAGGGGTCTGGAGTGCTACTGGCCTTGTATGCGGTGTGCAGTATTTGTGATCAGCACTCTCGCACAGTACGCGTGGTGCAATTGCTACAAAGAGAAATTCTAGCTTGTACATCATTGCGTATCTTCACCTGCAAGGTGCGATTCGTTTTGCACTCTATGCTGGATGTGTATTGCTAGTATTGGGTATGTGCTGTTGCTTTTCTGAAGCGCTGTTTTATAATCGTTCACAAAAGTTGCTAGCCAGCACCAGCCCCGCCGGTGACCTGCCGGTTAGGCTACCATCTGCTGGTTTCGTCCCAAGCATCTAGTTGCACGCATGGCTCAGTTGGCGGAAGTCTGCATTCAACACCTGGTTGATCGGACCTATGCCATGGTTTTGAGTCCGCTGATTTCTCTGTGATTGCTTGCATTCCTGTGTATGATCTGTGAACTGTGTATGCAGTGTAATGGACCAGCACAAGATGACACGGGAGCAGTGGGAGGAGAGAATAGTCAACTGGTACGCTGAGCATAAAGGCATGATGAGGTAAGTGAAGTCTGCTCCGCCGGAACTTCGAACTCAGTACTCATGGCACAGGTACTGGCTGGTGGCATGAACCACCGATGGCGAAACAACTGGTAATAGTGTGTTGACTTTGTGTACTTGTACTGAACCTTCGTCTTCTTGCCACACTTCTAATTCTACGGCGAGCATGTTAGTCATGCAAGGTATGGTCATCGCAGACTTCAGTTACAATGGCTGTCATTTGGTGTCGTGCTTGGCCTGCAGAGACGAAGCAATGCTGGAGTATCTAAAGATCGCCCAGGACCTTGAAATGTACGGCGTCAACTACTTTGACATCAAGAACAAGAAAGGCACGGACTTGTGGCTCGGCGTGGATGCTCTAGGCCTGAACGTATACGAGCAAGATGACAAGTGAGTATTGTTCACGGCATGAATATCTTATGTGCCTTGTGCATACCTAGTGTGATCAAGTCGCTACGTGAGCTATTTTGTAGGGAACCTTTCTACCGGAAGAGCCTTTTGCACAAACGAGTGATCGGCTCTCCTTGGCTTGAGTTTGGCCGGATAGTAGGTGTTGTGGAATGAACATGAATTCCCAGCTTTGTGCCCATACGTGCATGGTGTTCCACAGGGGCATAGAACAACCGTGCCCAGTCACCAGAGTGTGATCTTGTGCTGTGTTATCATGGTTGTCTATGTGTCTATTTGTGCAGATTGACACCTAAAATCGGCTTTCCGTGGAGTGAAATCCGGAACATTTCGTTCAACGATAGGAAATTCGTCATCAAGCCAATCGACAAGAAGGCACCGGTAAGCCTCGGGTTAACCTAAAAAGGTGGCGGCAGCTAGGTACATTACCTAGAGATTTAGTACATTGCACATGTCGATGTTCCCTTTACAGGGCGTTAACCAGTGCCAGTACTAACTCAGAGGTTGCTGTGCACACATCTAGCTGTTCTGAATTGAATTGCACTGAACCACGGCCACAGTGAATCTGGGTACAATGCTGCGGGTGGTTGACTGCTTGTCCACTTTCCCTTCTTTTTGCCAAACTGCACAGGACTTCATCTTCTACGTACCCCGGCTAAGAATCAACAAGCGTATCCTGGCACTGTGCATGGGTAACCACGAGCTGTACATGCGCAGACGCAAGCCGGACACCATCGAGGTGCAGCAGATGAAGGCGCAGGCGCGGGAGGAGAAGTCACAGAAGGTCCAGGAGAGGTACGTTGGAACTGAACCGCCTTGTAGAGGATAAACACGAGTCGTGCTTGCATAGTATTAGTAAGGTAGCTGGCAATGATGCTTGCCAACAGCTGCTGGAGGCAATGGGTACCGTTGGCTTGACATCCCCCCCCCCCCCCCCCCCGCCAACTGTGCTAGTGACATGATCGACATGCGGGTGTTGCATGCTCTGCTGAGCTCTCCTCGAGTAGTGCTTCATCCTGCCTCGTGCATGACCAGGCCACAGGAAATTAGGCTGAACTTGCAAATCTCCTTCAGTGTGAAGCCATGCCTCTGGATTTCAGCATTCACAATATCCACTTCGTTGGCTCATACGACTATAGCTGTAAATCTCTTCTCATTCTCATTCTGACTAACCAGATCAGAAGGACTATGTAATTTTGAATTACTTGGACACATCCGGAAAAGTGTCATGCATCCTTCGGTGTATCGAGTGCCCCGGCGGTGGAGTGTCCCATGACACACTATAATATGCTGTTTTCTAGCTCATGAACGCCGCATCACATGTAATTACGTGTATTGTCCATGCTGTGTTTTGGTTTGGCTTGCGCCGAGTGCAGGCAGAGGCTTCAGCTGGAAAAGCAGGCACGTGAAGATGCTGAAAGGCAGCAGAAGGATCTCCTGGAACGCCTGAAGAGATTCGAGGAGGAGGCACTGCAGGCCCAGGATGGTTAGTTGCTTATCTCACGAGTTGGTCACAATTGTCCATCTCTTGTTTTTGAAATGTATCCACTCTATGTCCTTAAAAAAACCGCCATTCCCGCAACAGGCTCTCAGCTGCACCAAATAGATAAATAAATACTTTGCCAAAATTTCGCCCATTGGTCTCCACTCTATGTCCCACACTTATAATTGAGTTATAATCAACAACACTTAGCTGTCCTGGAATAGAATGAAATATGAAACATGAAGTGAAGTCCAAGAGTACTGACCATTCCAGTTGCGCACAGAGGCACGCTTTTTCATGGAACTAAAGTTCTAAGACACACAATGAAAGGCAACGGGGTACCGGAGGCTGGCACTGATTTTTCAAAGTGTTTGCATGGATTCAGATGTCTTTGGCCACAGCTGTACGGTATTTTGATACACGGCGTATGTGTTATACATGAGCTTTATTGGATCCTTATTCAAGTGGCACATGTGTTGAGGCTGATTTGCTAATTTTTCTCGCTTCTGCACAGCTCTGAAGAAGTCCGAGGAGCAAGCCCAGGCGATTGAAGAGAAGGCGCGCCGAGCGGAGGAGGAGGCCAAGGAGTTTGCGCAGTTGAAGAACGAGGCCGAGGAAGAGCGCCAGCGCGTAGAAGCCCAGATGAAGGAGGAGCAGAGAACCAAGGAACAGATGGTAAGGCCGGGCGGAGAAGCAACATGGGCCGGCTACGGGGCCGCTGCTTCACATTGCTTTTAGTGGAACATGTGACTATGCTGTAGAATCCAACAAAGTACCAGTTCAGTCGCCTGTGTTGCTGCGGACTTACTCAGAAAGTACTAGTAATATAATAAAGTAGTATATGTTATTCATGTCATAGTCTCGGTATGCATTTTTTTACTAGGCCATGTCACGAAACAGCATGCATCATTCAATGTGAAAAATGGCATGGCAGTATCCAATCTCGTAGGGCCCCGGAATGTCATTATACTTATAGTCATTTGAGCATAAATATCACCCAATGTTGCACCTCTTGCCGTCTGTCCTCATCGTTTCACTCTCGTCCCTCTCTCCCGTTGATGATTTTAATGATTTCTTCCAATTACTTAGGCGGAAGAAGCAGCGAGACGAGAAGTGATGGCTCAGAAGGCTGAGGAGGAGGCCCGCTTGAAGGCCGTTGAGGCTGCTCGGCTACAGGAAGAGGTCAGTGAAATTTGCATTGCCACAGTCAAAATTGCCGCAACATTTATATCATTGTTTTTATTTTGCATTGGTGCACCCTTTGCAAACGGATTGTCATGTTTCTATTTATGTCTAGACGTGACTTTGCCGGTATGCTCAGCGAACCGTATCACAGCCGCGGGGGGGGGGGGGGGGGGGGGCAGGCAGTGCGACTGTAATGGTGTAGTGCGGCCAGTGGGCTGTTGCTACCACCATGGTCCAGTGCGACTGTAATGGCCCATGGTTCTAATAATAATAATGATTATAGTTACAGTTTGCATGTCACTCATGGCAGGATCCATGGGCTTAGCACATCTGTCAATGAAATACAGGCAGAAGAGCCAACAAAAGGCATCTCAATATTGCGGCTCTATAACCACAACAAACCGATCCCAGATAATTATATTTCCATGGCTGCAGTGCAATGCTCTAAATGTAGCATTCATCATGCTACGCATGGCCAGCAATCGAGGACATCTGAGAGTTGTAATTTTTGTACTCCTCCCAGGTGTGATTTTTGGCATGCTGGGCCAAGCACAAGGAAGCCATCTGCAAAAAAACTGCAGAAAATGGTTGTTGTTTGATCCTTTGGTGTAATCTTTGTTTCTAGTCGAAGCTAGTTGCTGTTTGGAGCAGAAACGCTGAAATTGACTATTTTCTGCATGTACTCATACATGTACTCATGTACTCAGGCATGCAGTCTCACTCGTATTTTAGCTATTTTTCTGGAATGGATGCTGCTCTGCGCCCCTTGGTGAACCTTTCCTGCGCTCGTGGAGCAGCTGAAAAGGACCACTGGTCTGTCTGGTTCCTGGTTTGAAAGTGGAGAGTCGACTTTTGTGCCTTGAAAAAGGAGTAGAGAGCGAGTAAGGTACGTCTGTGGCTTATTTTTGAGTGCTCCTTGTACATTTTTGATCGTGATAGAAATTCTCAGACCAAAGTCAGACCAAAGTCAGCGCGATGATGGCCGTACAGTTTTCTTGTGGATTTTTTAGTTGTTTCATTTCGTATCTATGTCAGTATCGTGATGGTGAAGTGGAGAGGGTGATTTTCTTCCTCTAGGCTTCGTTCGGCCGACTTTGCTTCGTCCTCGTTGAAAAGTGATCCTGAAAAAAGGTCGATTCGCAAAATTATGTTGATTTTCAATGTACGTGGTGACATGCGATTGCTGGCTATGGTATTGTTGCTGTGTCTGTGCCGCACACACAGCTGGAGGCAGCCAAGAAGCAGCAGGAGGAGAACCGCATCGCCCTTCTGCAGGTGACAAGCACACCGGCGGCTGTCATGGTCAAGCAAGGACACGACGATCACGACGAGCAGGAGGACGAGAGGAAGGAAGGCCAGGGTGAGCTGAGCCTGGCGGCCGATGTCGACATGGCTGCCCTGCAGAAGGCCGACGATGACCGGTTGAGCCTCGCCGAGAAGAACAAGAGAATGCAGCAGCAGCTTCGTGTAAGTTTGCCATGCATGACCGGCCGGTGGGGGGGGGGGGGGGGGGAGGCACCAGCTACTGTTCTGCATTTGTGTACATAGGCTGCATGCGCAATAATGAAGTGTGTGCCCGTCCATAGGATAGGACAGGTCTCAGGATGGCTTCGGCGCACTGTTTTTAGATCCGTACTGCATGAATTCCAGCCTGCGAAATGTGTTTAAATGACATCACACACACACGCACTGTGTTACTATTACTTTGACTGCAGGCTACCCAGCTAGTGTGTGTGACTATGGCACTGTGATCGTGTGAAGCTGCATAATGTTATACAGGAAATAGCCAGTTACACACAAGCCTAAAGTTCATTCAGGCATACTTTAGATCTGGGCATTTCCATTCCGGCCTAATTTGGGTCGCTCCTCTTTCCATTTTATCTTTGAATGGACCATTGCACAATTGTATGCACCAAATACAAATTTGCATACGTGTGGAAGACTGCTTGGAGTGGACAACACAATTGCGTTCATGTACAAAAGTCTCACTGTTACGACTCGTATTGTTCCACTCATCAAGAGGATTGATGTTCAAGTAGGGCTTCGCATGATCATCAGGCTTGCTATGACACGCTGCACATGCAGTGGGAAATCACCTTCCAGAAATGCTGACTTAGAAATGGGTGGTAACGTTGCCGGGCATGTTTTCTCTACTTTTGTTTCCTCTTCCAGGAACTGGGAAGCCAACTGGCATCCACCAAGGATGCTACCAAGCTGACCAAGGAAGACAAGCTCCACCAGGAGAACCAGAAGGCTGGCCGTGACAAGTACAAGACCCTCCGTCAGATTCGCCAGGGCAACACCAAGACCCGCATTGAAGAGTTCGAGAACATGTAAAGAAAACACAACAAAAACATATATTCAACCACATCTAGGTGAGTCTCGTGTTGTTTACGGTGTTCACAGGACTGTGCGTATATGGACCTATGTGCCCGTAAGTGGGATCATTTCCAAGTCCACCCAGAGTTTGGGGATTTCAGGGGGGTTCGGGCGTTGGGCGGTTCAATAGCCGCTGATTGAGTCATCTTTCCAAGATTCGTGTTGGGTCTCTCTCCCCTCTCCTACGTGACCAGTTTTGGCAGTGAGCAAGTACGCTGAATGTGCACTGTGGATTGACACTGGTATGTCTGTGGTGCTGTGTCCCAGCTCATCTTATAATGGGTCATGGGACTGAGTAGCCTTGTATATGTACGACGAGATGAAGAGCTATCGAAAAAAAATGTAACATATCTGCCTGCATACATCAAGTACTTTGAGAAACTGCAAGCAAGACTATACCTCATGAGCCTGCATTTTCGCATTGAAATCCCAAAGTTTTCAAGTGAGACATCATTGACGGAGGTCATCAATTTGGTTGAACTTAGGTTGTGATTTGCCGTATTACATCCATGACGAGCTTTGTTCCAAACGTGGAATATCCAGGCATTAAAAAAAAACTTTTTTAATAATAAATTTACTTGGGGGGGGGGGGAGGGGCAGCAAAAAAAAAACAGGTTCATGTTAGGGGCCATCCGTAATTATCGATCTTTTTCACGAAACGAAAAAGTTTAGTTATGACCCACCCCCACCCACCCACCCCCCTGAAACGAGAAAATTAATTGACTGGAGACTTTGTGCAGAAAATGATCTTGATTGGCTGTTACAACACAGTGAGGCCACATTTTAATTTTGTGTGATTGTGCAAGTAAGTATTTAGTTACAAGTTTGTTTTCTTGGAAGTCTGGTACTACTTCTTGACCATGGAAACATTTTATTTTCACCTACCACAAAATGAGCACCTCTACGTCTAAACACGGGAATTGTACACTTGCAAATCGTCAGAGTTCCGACATTGACATGATGCTGCCAAAACAAGTCGACTTCGGAGCGGAAATAAACGCCATAGCTATCACAGACTTCAGTGGTCGTGCCTCGTTCGCAAATGAGAGCAGCATCGCCCCAGAATCGCTGTCGGAAAGCTCCGTAAGGTCGCACGCACGCCGCGCTGCGCTGCCGTCAATCAGGTACTTGCAGTACGTAGAAAGTCGATGGCCTAAATTTCCGTGTCTGGAAGACTGTCGACACGGGGATCACTCTCCATGGCTTCCCCACCATAAGCACGATCAGATTCTTCCAGGTACATTACGACGACATCGTCTTCAGCGGCTGGCGCTCCCCATATTTGCGTGAGAGTTTACTTGGCGTGCGCCCCGCTCCGTAATTTGAAGTTCTCTTGCATCGGCGGCTGGAACGAAATATTTATCTATCCGTCGTCGGTCCCAGAGTGAATGACCATGATGACTGCTTGGTCCTCGTCGGAGAAGTCATCCGAGGACGGGGACGAAAGGAACTCACTGCACTGAGTACAGAGTGGTATGCATGGGATCAGTGCATCCGCGCGACGTACTGAGTCTGTCGATCTACTTCAATGTAGATCAGGGAGTCGTAAAATATTTTACGACTCCCTGATGTAGATCTACATCCAGTCAGCGTTGATTTTTTCCGCTTTCGATGTTTTTTCGAAACGAAACCGGTCGCTACCCACCCACCCATAAACGAAACTTTTTCGTTTCGTGAAAAAGATCGATAATTACGGATGGCCCCTTATCATGTTATGATATTGGGCTTGCATCGAATATTATTTTGATAGTTTTGAGCATATTACACAGTGTTTTAGGTCCAGACATGTTGTGCCCACAGACAGCTTGTAGATTCAATTAAAAAAAAGGAAAAAAGGAAACAGGAAACAGATATGAAAATGAGGCATGTGAAAATCTTGAACGCCACAGACATCACCACGCAAGATAACTTGTCATGTTGCGCAATGATGTCTGCAGCTTTCCTACCTTTTCATAGCTCTAGTTAATTGTCCCTTGTTGCCTTGTATATGTACGACGAGATGAAGAGCTATCGAAAAAATGTAACATATCTGCCTGCATACATAAAGTACTTTGAGAAACGTAGGGTATATGGAACTTTGGTCCAATACAAGCAGTGTTTTGCAAGCAAACTGTTCATCTTCCCCATGTATGATGTACTGATTGCAATCTTGTGGTTGGATGTGCTGTTTGTGCCTGCAGACCAACTACCGCTGTGATTTTCATTCTCCCTAGCACTGCGGCGTTCTTGCATCCTCAGTTACTACTTGTCTTTAGGAGCTCTCTTTTTTTCATTACGACCCCCCCCCCCCCCCCACACACACCCACCCTTTGCACCATATGCCCAGCACTGTATCTCGGGTGCCAGAGCCTCCCCGGGCTGTTCACGACGGCCTGCTTTCAGCTTCAGATGTTCCTTTCTTTCCTATCTACCTGCTGCGCTTGTTTTGCTACCGTTCTGCCTCTGCTCCCCTCTTGAAAGGTCTTGTTGGCCTAGGCAATGCATGTAGGAAATTTGCTTCCTGTGAAGTGAATAATGTATAACAACTATTCTTTCATTTTTTTTGTTCTATTTTTACACGTAAATGCGCATGGCCCAAGGAAATTGCTTATGATTGTTTATGCTATTGACTCATGTGACTTTTCCACTGCGCTCCTAGTCAGCATATCTGTTTCCCTTTGTCTATACGAGATTCCTATCATTTACGTTTTCGAGGCTGCTGCATCCATTTTTATGGGCTTTCTCTGTATTTTTTTAATGACTAGTACTTGTTTTGTACTTGTTGCTTGCTGCTGAGAATGGAAGATGGGATAGATGATGATGAAGTGCGGAATGGCACAATCTTTTGGAATTTTCAGTACACCACACACACACACGCACGCACGCACGCACGCACGCACACACACACACACACACCTACTACTACTACTACTGCAGCACATAATTATATGTCGTAGGTAGGCAACAACAGTTTTAGTGGTGAACTGACATCATCACGGATATGCGTGTGTACGGAACTGTGCCTGTGGGGCGGGGATACTGCTGACGTTGGCTTTTCACACTCAAGGCTCCCAGGCCTGCAGGATGATCCGCGACGCTGTGACCCGACCAGAGCAAGTCGAAATAATAATCATCTAAAATGTCGGATTCTCCCATCGCAAGTATTGAAACTACTGTTGTGGACATGGAAATCCGTTCTCACGTCTAGCGGCCCCAGGGCGCTGGCCATGCAGCCGTGGGTAAGCAGTACACACATGCATTAATCCATTATGCGCTGTTGTTAGTGTTGCAGTTCTGGTCACATCGGATCAACAAGTTAGTTACATGACTGTGCACTGCATGCAACGAGTTACGTTCTGTACGCGCTGATGAGGGCGCTGGCCCCGGCCAATCGACAGGATTTCCATGTCCGTGACAGTAATTGCTTCGTGTTTTTTCGTGTGTGTACATTCATGTACATGTAAAGTGTATGAGAAATCAGGGCACTACTACTAGTACTACTAGTACAGACAGTGCAGAACTGAAGGGTCTACTGGTAGGTAGGCGTGGGAAGCTGGAATTCCGGAAGTGAAGCGGGGTTATGTCATCATGCATTTGCGTGGTGTAGCGTTGGGAAGGAAGGAAGAGAGCTTGTAAGTGCCACTGTGGGTATCAGGTCCTAGTCAGTCTCAGTGGAGCCAGGACTAGGAGCCAAGGCTCTTTTCAGCGGCTGAGCCTACATGCTTGACGCTCACGCGGGGCCGTGTTGAACGCTACAATCATCATGCAGTGCCGGAGATAGATAGGCTGAGTGAGGGCGCGTGTGGACTGTGGAGTCTCAGTCATAGTCCATAGGTGCAATGACCGAATGACGTGATAAGATTACTATACTTGTTATCATTTCTCACGCAATGAATGCCTCAACCTCCACTACATATACACAGGATCTACTATCATCTAGGACTAGGAGTGCAGGTGCAGTACTAGTAACAATGACTCAAGAGGCCGATGCTTGAAAGACCGACTGTTGCAAGTAAATGGCGACTGGGAGACTCTCCAGCGACTACCGTCCCTTGTTACTTTACTTCCGCGCATCAAGAAAACGTTTGGGATGTCCACTGTCGATTGTCATGTACGACAGAGGCGGAATCATCCAGTGCCCAGTGGCGTAGTGAACGCGCCAGTAGAGAGGGAACGAAGGCCTTGTCTACTGACTGATACTTACTCGCAGATGTGACAGAGCGGGTTGGCTGCTTACCATCGACGCCAAGCACTTGTTAGGGGGACGGACGACTGGCAGCCTTCACTAGACAGAATCAGATTCATCCATCAAAGTGTGGAAGATGATTGTCACGCACAGCTACAGCGCCGCGGAGAGTCGTTGTTTTCAGAAACAATCGCCGTCTCCGGTGTACAGTCATGACATTAGTTTGACAGCATGAAACAAGGTGGAGGGCACTGTGTTCGGAAACAGTGACCTTACTACAACCACCCACGGTTGGTAGAGCCCCGGTCCGTTGGGACCATCTGAACCATAATATGGTTATAATTATGGGTGTTGAACCCGGTTCTGACCCTCATTATGCTAGGGGAGTTTTAGACTTCTCCTAACGTCAATCGTGTATTCTCTGATTGCTCCTGGATGTCCATTGAATGCAATGAATTGAAAATATGGCCGAAAGCTCTGTCGCAATATTTAGCTCCTGGATGTCGTCCTGATAAAAATATTTAAGAAAAACAGGTTAAAGTAGCTACATGTACATGACTATCATGCTGGCTAATTGCTGGTCCAACCGTTTACGTCTCTTTCTTTTACAGCCACACAATACCGGCGTAGATCTACTAGCACCCGTACCCTGATGATGTCGCTTTAGACCTTCCTAACATTAGACGAACCAGAGGTCCTCAGGCTCAGATGATGGTGTGCATGTGACGTTGGCTTCGACGGTGACGTGTTTGCTTGGCTGCCGTCATTAGTGCTGTGGCTTGTGACACAAGCCACAGCACTAATGACGGCAGCCAAGCAAACACGTCACCGTCGAAGCCAACGTCACATGCACACCATGTGAGTTGTGCCTCGAACTGCATGTAACTAATACCAAGAGTACTGGGGTTATATACTCTTGCTAATATACCTACTTTAATTCAAGCAGAGCCACTTGTACAATGCATTCATGACATCAAGAGTACATGGGGGTTATGTACTCTTGATGACATGTAGTGATGTACCGGTACACGTAGATCAAGCACATGTGCACAGCAGACAGAGCAGCCAGCAGAAAGCGTGGCATGCGGGTACGTACTACACTACTACAAGGTAGTACAAGTATCTTATAAGTGCCACTGGCAACCACGCGGCCTTCACGTCTTTGTAATCATGAATTGTAGTGGACATCCCTGCGACACTATGTCCGGACCGTTTTAGAATCACAGTCATTCATTCCCAGTCGTTCTGGCCACATGTTTAGCTTGGTGTATATCCTGCGGGCAGACTAGAGCACTCACAGACTTCGCTCGTTGACTATGAATTATGATAATGCTCGGCAGGTCTACTAGTCTCTAGGTTTCGATTCGTTCGGCTGGACACGTAGCAGGTGAATCAGGACTAGATGTTGGCAAATAATGGGCAACTACTACATGTATACTAGTACTCCGAGTCCTTGCCCTGGATCATAGACTAGTACAGTAGTAGTAGATCTGTAGTAGTGGATGTACGGTCACACAGACGTCTTGGTGTCCCTTTTCACATTCTGAAATGGAACTACAGTATTACTAGTATAATAGTACTTATTTGTTTGGCCAGCTGTACGCCCTATGGAGTATGGTACATGGATGCGATCATTACTTGGAATCCGATACTACCCTGACAATCGAACGACGACCCGTAGAACCAAGAGCAGCCCTGTATCAGATACATGTACTGTAGTCGGTAAGACAGTAAAGACTTTTAAGTGTAGACGACTACGAATGACCGGTCATGTGGTACGGATGGACACGGAGTCCTAGTGCTGACCCGAATTTGCTAGCAATTCTTCTAGCAAAATATCGAAGAATTTTGAAAGGGAATTTGCTGGCAAAATGGAGCAAAATATCGGTGTGTTGGCTGGGAATTGGGAGATTTTACACATATACGGTGCACATGACTCATTTCGGCACAATTTTACCAACACGTGACTCACTTTTTCTCATTTTTGCCAACACGTAACCCACTTTCGGTCAGTTTTCTCACACGTGACACAAATTTTGGAGCAAAAAGGGAGCAAAATATCGAGTGGCCTAGCAAAATGAAAGCAAAATTTCGACGATGCACGAGCAAAATTATGCCGCAAAATATCGAGATTCAGCTGGCAAATTCGGGTCAGCACTAACACGGACATGACTGTCGACACGCCACCGCAAGTAGCCATGACATGAGCGGCTATTTTTGACAAGGGCAACAAAGCAACTCGGGGACGGCCAAAGTAAAAGTTGTCAGGTCGCTCACTAGTCACTGACGCTCAGCTGAATAAGCTGGGTGTGTCCATGATGAAGTCCATGCAAGACCTTTCCAGGTGCCGAAAGCAAGCAGCGGACGAGACGAACTGGAAGAAACTGTGCAGCTCGACACCCGAGGACTAATCACTTATCAGTATCATGGCTGATGATGTTCACAAGACAGAAGCGGAAAAAAACACTGAACTACATCATGACTGTACTAGTACTTGTTTGTTCTACCAAAAGGGGGTTATGTAATATGTACTCTTCTACTACGCGAAATGTGTAATTATTCATACCGGTATGATTATTCTCCCACTCAGGCCCAGTCTAGAACTACAGTGCTGGCAACTGAAATCCAACCCCCTTGGCGGCGCGGCGCTCCGCCAAGGGGCCGCCAAGGGGGTCGGATTTCAGTTGCCTGCACTGGAGTACTAAAAGAGCACGTCATCAGAGCTCAGCTCGACCAAGCTGGAACTGGCCATACAAAGACAAGCGTGAACTGAACTGACGAAGAAGCTGGATAAGGTAAGGAGTATGAGTTGTGTTTGGCATCTTGTCATTATGATGTATTTTTCCAATCTCTCTAGTCTTGTGTATTTGCAAAGTATGATGTCACTTCCAGTAACACTTGACTGGCGAAAGTGGCCAGATGCTTTCCGGAATTCAGGTCAGCATTCCTTCGTTGTTGTCTCTAGTCTACGAGTACGAGTCTCTCGTGCGACTACGAGTAGACCTACATGTACGTACACGCGTACTGCGACGGAGTAATGTACTTACAACAAGCGAGAGTGCTCTTGCTACAAGTACAATGTACAAGTATGCCGCAAAAGAAATGGCATGGATTGTATGATGAGCGCAGCATAGCACCACTGTAACAAGCACAGTACATGAACTGAGTGAGTAATCACTGAGTATGCTCCGCGTGCTGCGTGTAAACACTAAAAAAAGTCTTTGCGTGGAATTCCCGGCACCGTCAGACTGACCCTGTTCGTTCAGACGAACATCGACATAATCGTCATCACTCAATATGCATACTGAGTCATAGCATCACTATCAGCTGACTGTCGACGGTGGTCAGCTGAGTTTGATGTAGAAAGTAGAAACTGAAGCCGACCCCACAATGGCACTTATGCCGAGTTATGGGGATCAGGCTGCATTGATTCTTACATTGCTCAATATTCACCACTTACATGACATTGTACAGTTGCAATGTGGCCTAGGCCGCCCTAGCCTAGGTCTGTACTGTCCTTTGCCCATAATAGGATAACTGTCCCAAGAGCATGACATGATTGTGCTTTTAATAGACATGTTTGTTCAAACATGTTACGGAGTACAATCATGTAGTCTTGTAGTTCACATATCTGTCATCACCACTTGGTGACTCCCAGCATATGGCGGTGAGGTGCAAAGAAGTTACTTCTCTGGACTGAAGTGAGACGATAGTTGAGACTGACCACGAAGGAACATGGGAGTATATTGTACACGTCAGCTCTGCTGTTCTGTCCTTCCAGTTCGTCATCCCACGAAACAGTACTGAGGACGGTTCGCTAAACTGAAGCGGTACTCAACGGGGAATTCTCTTTGATTCCATTCGTACTCGGGAAAAGCGCACATTTCCTACTAGTTAGTTCTCTCTTCTTTCCATACATGTAACGTTACTTGGGAAACTTAGTATTCGCCGATACATGTACATGACGATTGTACATGTATATCAACCCTATGATATACTACTCGTATCGCATCACAAATGATCGGCGATTGGCACATCCTGGCGATAATACTTCCACCCGTAACTGTAGTCGTAGATCTACAGTACAGCGCTATCAGCGCTATCAGGGTGGCAACGATGATCAAAGCAAGTAGTTAGTTGCAGCTCAAATAGACCATAGCAGACAGCCTAGCTGACACGACAAGGCCTTAGCCTGGGTAGAGGACACTTTTACCAATGTTTACTTGCGACTTCAAGCAAGTTCAACAGAGTATCATCCACTGTACCGTAGTCGACTACAGTCTGTGGGAGTTCATGAGAACACCGAGCAAAGCCACTTCGCCAGTCACAGTTACGTTCTGGTGCGAACTGCATACTCATGTAGTAGCACAACGCGACTACGCCTAAAATGTAAAACTAAAGAAATATCAAATTGAAATACTAGTCAGTCTTGGTACGCTGGTCGCCGGGACAGGTGAGGCAAACAGAAATGCGATAGGACTATCACTATCACTCAATAATCAGGGCTATGTGCTGCAGTCTTCAGATGTCCACCAACGGCATTCACCCAGGAACCGAGCGAGCAATCAGCAGCAGCAGACTGCAGAGACGGCCAAGCTGGGAGGGAGGGAGAGAATTAGCCTACTACTCGTCTACAGTAAAGTGTTCAGGTACATGTAGTTCAAAGTAGGACACTACACTCTACACAAAGAGTACAACTACCACAGGCACAGGAGACTGGATTAGTGGATACCCGGCGAGATGAATCGCATAAATAGTAGTAGTAGTAGTAGTAGAATTTATTATTTTGATAGGGAAGGCCCTACAGACGTACTGGGCCTGAGGTCAGGGGGCGGTTCAAGAACCACACACACGTAGTGACGTAGCACACGCAGCTACAGTGTATAAAGAAATAATAACTTCAAAGAAGCCTTGCTTGGTAGTTCACACGTAGCTAGCTCGAACAAGCGTTGACCGTGACCTGGTGACAGCTTCTTGACCAGTGTTGACTGTTCTAGAAAGTGCGCTTTGCATAAATTATAAAGCGCAATCAGGTCTTGCCAGGTACATATACTACCGGTAGGTGGGTGCGCCAACATGCAACAAGCGAGGTAGACCTACTAATAAATAATTAAGCACTACTCGTAGATCTACCGACTGTCGACATGTCGGCGTACCCTGGAACTCCCTTCAATTTAGACTACGTCTTTGGGAAATCCTCAAATATATTATATAATAATAAACCCGTCGTAGTCCATCCCTGGTAGAGCGTAGCAAAGCGACCGCCTCGTGCTGGCCCAGACCAGGGAGCACACTGCAGTGACTGCACCCGTACACGGTTAACCGGTTATGATGACCCACCATGTTCAAGATCACGGAGATCCGACGATTGAAATTTTAGGTCTCCGCTGTAACCTGCGGAATAAAGATATTGAGCATCTAAAATTTCTGAAATTAGAGTAAACCAAAACACCTAGATTCAGCTCGGACTGATAGGCTATGCCTTTGGCCCCTTGGCTTGGGTTTGGGATATCCTTTAGATAATAATACTGTACAAATACAATGTATGGCGACTGCACAGACTGCATTCGATTTTCTACTGTAGATCGATCTGACTTGTAGGCGCAGTCTGTTCAGGCTTTTATTTGTCCACCATCGACCTGGCCTGCTGCTGGTGTAGTGGTGATAGTAGTAGAGTAGTACTGTAGCAAGCCAAGAGTAGATAAACAAGAGTGTGCAACTCCAGCTATGGGGTCTGCGACGGCAGAACTTCACATCACGTGATGAACCCGTGCACTCTAGTGCATGATAGATATTACTGGGTTGCATGTACGCAGCCCAGCTTTGGGTACAACTCTCTTGTGGTCACTTTGCACTGTTTGCCAGCATAACCTTTTGAACCATGTCACGTGATGTGAAGTTCTGCCGTCGCAGCACAGCATAGAGGTTGTGCAGGCAGTTGCACACTCTTGTTTATCTACTCTTGGTAGTACTAGTAGTAGTAGTACATGTAGTAGTAGAATTTATTTATTTTTGATACATGTAGTAGTATTACTACTACCAGGGAGTCGTAAAATACTATGTTCACGACTCCCTGCTAGCATGCTACTACTAGTACTAGTAGTACTACTACTAGTAGTACTAAGTACTGTACTAGTCAAAATGATTGTGTGAAGATGACGTGATGGTGATCGTGCAGGCGTCAAGCAGCTTGTATGGGCCCCGCGGGCCGGGCCGCGACTCCGCGAGCTGACATCACGTGATATCGACACGTCGACAGCAGCGAGTTGTATACTGAAAGCCCGATCAATCATGTTTTTGCAGGCCCGAGTCCATTTTGCCAAATCAAGTGGGTTGTACGGGTTCACGGTGGACGCGATCGCGAGCCGCCGTTGCCGTAGATCTACGAATGAGTACAAACTACATGCATCAACTCCGTTATCTCCACAACCAAACCTGTGCTGGCATGTTCCAAAAGCGGTTGTCACTCTTTCAAAGATCATCATTTCCAACTACTTTCTCTATCGTCGTATCGAAGTGCAGTGTAGATCAACGTCGTCGAGCTGCTCTCAAATTTGTTGCTGCACTGCTAGACGCAGCAGAAATAATTACCTGTGATTGCCTGAAGAGGTGTAGTGGAACTTGGGTTGTCTTTTTTGCTTTGACTCGTACTTCAACCGTTCTCAAGTGGTAACCTGGAACTCGCTCTGTTCCTTGCTTCTCGTGTTGCTGAATACTGCACCCGGAGCAGCAACCGTGTCTGTGGTGCTCGGAGGTGTGAATACTCGATCCCATCCCCTACCCCCGCCATTGCCGCTGTTACATGCGTGCCTGCGTGCATTCGCCACCCAAGCAGAAGTGGTACCTTTCTGTTTTGCATCTTCGTTTGGACAGTCTAGAGCCGAGGGAACAGAGGTGGAGGGCAGGCGTTCAAGCACTTATTTGATTATTAGCCATTTTTGTCAGTGTGAAGTCGCACTTTTGGCTCTGTGTGTGGCATGGCAAGTGTAGCTGCGCATGTCGCATGATACAGCTTGGTGGTCTACTGCAGTACTGTGATACTGATAGCAGTACGCACAGGTGATGAGTGTGTCAACAAACTTTACCATTCCCAAGAAAAGGGCAAAGGACCTCTTCGAACCCGTTGAAAATGAATCTCGAGAGGGCAAAGAAGTTTTGCGTCAAATCCATCTTTCCTTTTCTGACCCAGACTACTCAAGCCGATTTCAATTTTCTAGTATTCGACAGGTCCATAGCCCACGCCTTGACCAGTATTCTGCCTGGAGGAAAGAGAAACGCAACGAGGGCTACGGTACAGTGGAGATGGAGGAGAAGTACTGCTTCCTGGCTGTACGGTCCGAGTCTGAAAGCAAATCACTTTGTGAACGAGGGTTGGAAGTGTCCAAGTCGTCCTACCGTGGCCAGACGTGTTTGGGCGACCCCGTGTATGGAGTGTATCTACACAGTACAGTAGCTGCGGCCGTTGATGCTATTGGAATTCGCCATGGGAAATGCATGCTGATCATCTTCAAAGCTAGCCGAGGCCGTGTCAAGGCTGTTGCAGCAACTCTCGATGACTCAGGTAGATACCAGCGTAGTAGGCGGGCGCATACGGATCTGCTGCAGCCTGCTCCGAATTTCGACACTCACATTGCCCGTGCTGGAAGCAAGTTTGTACAGAACCTGCTGTACATGTACGAGTTTGACGACGAAGGTCTGCCGTCAAAGCGACCGCGGCAGTGCTGCCCTTTTGCGATAGTAGACTTAACTCTTTCGCCCGCTCCTGCTCCAGCTGAATCAGGGATGGCAGCAGCATCTCCCACTGGTCACACCACAAGACGCTTATCCTCTCACAGTCGACTGTCACAAGTATCAGCAGCAGCGACGCCAGTAGCACCACTGCCTCCATCAACGTGGACAGGCGGGGTAATATTCACCAGTGACAATCAGACCACTGCTGAAATCACTGTGCTGGATGTTGCCAGAGATCGCTTTTGCAAGCACCCGAATTTCGGCGAGGAGCTGAAGTTGACATGTGTTTTGCCACGTGCATCTCTAGCAGCTGTTATTCCGCTGGATGTCTTGGATCAGTATAGCGATTCGAGTGAGCCGCTAACGGTGGCCGGTGGTCTGACAGCGCAATGGCTTCATGTGTCGTTGGGTGTGCCGCACGAGTATGCTCGCCAGGTTTTGTGTAGCCTGCAATGCGTGCAGCTGGGAGCTGTGGGTGTTAGTGATGAGCTGCTCGTGCTCCTCACCGGTCACGGAGACAAGGCCGACCGCCCAATGGTGCTCTGGCTGATCGTCGACGCGGACGCCACCGTCAATGCACGTGCAATCCTGCAGAAGTGCTATGAGCACTGCTACCTGTTTCGAGAGGAGCTGTCCCGGACATCCGCTCCTGCGGAGTCGCCATCCTCTGCGGTGGACCCAAGTGGTGTGCAGTTCAGTGAACAGGCGACGTTGCCAGTAGCTGCAGGAGCAGCTCAAGAAACAGGTGATGCAAGAGTGATCTCCGAAACACCACCGGATAGTCACTATGCTGGAAGTGTGTGCGATACTAATGACGTACGATCCAGGAGAAACTCTTTAGAGCCTACACAGCATCTGTATGAGAGCCCCGGCTGCATCATGAAAGGGCCATACGTAGAGGAAGACGACTTCTCCTGCACCAACATGTACACCCCGCCGGATGACGAAGAGAACACAGGAAACCTTGGCTTGCAGCAGGGCTCACCATCTGTTCAGTCACACCACGAGTATCAGTATCAGCGAGACCAAGAAGAGCAGCAGTACTGCTCGGATGACAGCTACACTTTCCCAGAGCGGCCTCGGGACCAATACATGGCGCCAGTCTGTGAGGTGGAAAACCACCAGGTGTATCAACAGCATGAACACGAGCACGAGCTGCAGCAGTACTGCTCGGATGACAGCTACACTTTCCCAGAGCGGCCTCAGGACCAGTACATGGCGCCAGTCTGTGAGGTGGAAAACCACCAGGTGTATCAACAGCATGAACACGAGCACGAGCTGCAGCAGTTGCAAGAAGCTGACGATATCAGTGCGCTGATTTGCCGCAGTCCGGATATGGACTCATCTCTTGGTGACGCATTTGTCATCGATGAGTATGGCGATGCGTGTACAGATGACTATCAGGGCAATGAAGGCAATGACGCAGTGGATGATTGGCCGCTGCCACCGCCACAGCAGTCCGTTGTGTTCAATGAAGAGACTGGACAGTGGAATGATGTTGCCTTTGACCACGAGCAGGGTTTCGTTGCATCGGCATCAGCTGCCGAGGCACAGTTGTCACCGTCTTGTCTTTATGAGGAGTGGTACAGTGAACAGTCTGGACCGAATGCCTCGCTGTCCCCGGGCGAGCTCAATAGGAGGTCTTTATACCTTTCATCATGTGAGTCTGACTCGGGTCATGCTCAGGGTTATGTTGCCTCACCATCACCGCATCCCACATGCCCGTTGTCACCAGGCAACGATCTTGATGGTTTGCCTCTGGAATCGCCTGCTCCTACTGCTGTCTACTTCGAACCAAGTCTTGCTGTAGAGTTAGAACCGCCACCACCGCCTCCATCAAGACCGCCATTGCCGCAGCCATTGTCTCCTCCTCCTCCGCCACCGCCAGTGGCACAGTCGTCATCAGCAACTTCAATCTGTTCTGCACAGTACACTGCTGTTTCCCCAGTGTTGTCCCCGGTCACGCCGCCTGCTCTTGACTATCAAACGTTGTCATCAGCGGGATCTTCACAGCTCGACCTGGATCTTGATGATCAGCAGCCGTTAGACTTCCGCACCCAGTTGCCCAAGGAGCTTCCCATGGCCGTCAGCAACGGATTCATGCCACACGACCCGTTTGTGGGTATCCACGCACCATCTCCACTAGAGGTGCATGCTATCAGTCCGGTGCACCCATCCGCAAGTGGTGCCTACACCGATGGTCATGCTAGCAGCACGAATACCCAATGCATTGCAGTACTGGATGCAGCTACACTGGCAAATATCACGGACATTACCCCATCACACGAAATTGTGGACATGGATATTGACTCGAATGAGGATGAGCCTGTTGCTTCAGCGCAGTCGTTCAATGCGGTTCCTAGCGAGCCTCTATCCGAGCAGAATGCGCAAGCGTACTACAGTGATGTAGTGGCACGTCATCCCCATGCCAGCTTTGAGTTCAAGCTGGCATTCCTCAAGCAAACTGGAATACTAAGTGGGCTTGTTGGTGAGGACGTGGTCAGTGATCTGGTATCTGCGACGACTGCTGCTGTTGTGGATGCTGATCTGCTCGGTCAGTTCTCTCCAGAGGAAAAGGAGCGTTTCACCTTCCTGGTCAACAAGTTATGGGCCGGCTTGTATCGCTCCAGTAGCGCGGACACACCGGGCACTGACCTTGCTGCTGCTGCTACTGCTGCACCTGCATTAGCTGCTGGGATATTTCTCCCGGGATTCTTGCTACCTGCTGCTGCTGCTGCTGCTACACCGGTGTTGTCTGACTGCTCGCCAGTGATTGCCCCGTTGCCGAGCTCTCCTCCGCCTGTTACCCCACCATTGCCCAGCTCGCCCACCTGCGATGGCAGCAAACACCCCAGGCAATTCTTTCAGCTGCGACAATCCAGGCTAGCCAGTCTGGATGCTTCGTCCGCGTCAATGCCAGGCTCCCAGCAAGAGTGTGTTGTTAGCCCACCATCGGCAACACATGTAGAGACTGTAGCATCTTCACCTGAAAAACAGCACACCGTAGCCAGCGTATGTACAGTCGGCGAAGTGCCATCGCTGTCCACAAACACAGGGAGCTCTGCTCGCTGGCAGCCTGTCGCAACACTTGACAAAGACAGCAGGGAGCATGCCAGTTCTGCTAGTGCTGCTGCCACAACCCAGTGTGGAAGCTCTGCTAATCGAAACAGTACAGACCAGCCGGCTGCTGCTGCTGGCCAGCATGGTGCACATAGTGACAGTTGCAGTTCTAAGCGTGCTTCTCCGACCAGCAGCAGCGCTGACCGGTGTCGCTCACCACTAGCTGCACGCCGCCACTCACCAGTAGCCATTGCTGTTCCTAAGTCTGTAGTAGGTAACAGCCAGTCCAGTAAACCTGATAGTCAACACCGTAGCACTACGACTGCACGTGCACATCCGCCAAATTCTGCATCCAGTAACCATGGCAACAATGGTAGTCCGCTCTTAGGAAAGTCACGGCGCATACGAATAGCTGCACCATCGCCATCGTCAGTAGTGATGTCATTACTGACATCATCTACAGTGTCGTCATCTTCAATGACATCATCGACAGTGACAACATCGACAGTGACATCCGGTGGGACAGAATTGTCATCACTCACTAATGCAGTGCAGTCACAGTGCAGTGATACTCCAGCAGGAGCACCAGCCAGCAGCAAGCCAGCCACTGCGGGTTCCTGTGAGCCAAGTGAACTGTCTAGTGCCATATCCAGTGTATCATCTGCTTCTTCTGGCATCAGCAAATCCACGAGTGCAACGCCATCACCAAGTAGTGATGGTAGTTCAAGTATCAGTAATAGCGGCGTTTCCCAGACATCTGCTAAGAATGCGTCCATGCCTCACGTAGCAGCTTCCAGCTCAGCTACTGGCCGTAACAGGACTGAGACAACGACTACCGCTACATGTGTCACCATGGCGACGGCGGTCTCCGCAGCTTCTGAGCCCAGTTTGGCACAGCGTGGAGGTAAGTCGGCATCAAGTGGCAGCAAAAGCATCTTGGATCAGGGCCATACTGTGTCATGCAAGTCACGCGTACAGACAAAAACGCCATCAACCACCGGCAGTTGCCAAACACCTCCGAAAGCCAGCTCAAGTGCAAAGGAGACGGAACAGCAAACTAGCGGCCATGCTGCATCCCTCACCAGTTCAAAGACACTGGTTCCTGTCCTTGGAAGCCGAACTAAGTCAACGCCCACTCCTAGTTCTCTACCCACCACATCAACCAGCAAGGCAACGTTGCCGGAGAAGTCCACCGCCTCTCCCACAAAGACAGTGCATGCAAGCAGTAAGAGCACAGCAGCTTGCACAGCCGCCACTACTGTGTCGGTCACACCGAGCAGCACGGCAGCTGGCCGCAGTAAAGCGAACGTTAAACCCATCAACTCCAAGGTGACATCAGCTGTGTCACCTCCTCTTCCTGCTGGAACGAAGCCAATCACCGTCAAGCTCAACACCAGCAAAGTGGGACAATCCCAATCGCCAGCAGCATCCACTCCGACCTCTAGATCCAGTCCACGCCGGTCAGCCAATACCAGTAGTAGGACTGCTTCTTGCAGTGACTCACCCACTAGCAACCTCAGACCGCTCATGACTGAAACCACCAAATGGTCCTCAAAGTCTCAATCATCTGCAGGCCAGAAAGCACCGGCGAATAGACCACAGCCATCACGGCCAGCAACTAGTCAGGCAGGTAGCGCAAAAGTGACAACGTCAGCGCGAACTACTGATCGTACTGAGTCAACTAGACCTACAACTCTTGCTCAAGCACCTGTTTCTTCTACTGCCAATACTGCTGCTAGTACAAGGAGAGTGGCCACACCAGTCAACTGTTCTACTACTACTACTACAGTCAACAGTGAAAATGTTTCAATCCCTGCGTCGAAGAATAAACCTGCGGCAGCGTCATCAATTGCTAGGCGTACAGATGGTTCTGGACCCACTACAAGTACTCCAGTTGCCACCGCAGCCACTGGTGTGAGATCCTCTGGTGCTACTTTGAAACCTGCTAGACTCGTCTTCACAATGAAACCAGTTAATGGGCCTGCTAGCAAAGGAGAATCTGTGCCTGTTCCTTCATCCCAAGTGAGTGAGTGTAGTGCTTCTGCTGATGGAGGTGGTGATGGTGGTGGTGGTGGTAAGAACAACAAGGATTCGCCCTCGAACACGAACTCTAGCAGTGGTGCAAGTCATCGTACTGCAAAGGTGTCTGCTGACAGTAATGGCCGTGCTGGTGGTGAAACTGCACCTGCAGCCAGTAACTGTCCTATTCAAGTGGTTCGCTCTTCGCACTCTGACACAAGAACAGTGTACAGCTCTGCAGGACAATCTGCTTCGGGTGCGAGCAAGAAGTGTTGCGATCGTCCTCAACAGGACCGGCAATCTGTTGCTGGTAGTGAGAGCAATTCCTGCAAGTCCAATTCCTCGGAGCCACCGGACCTGGACGTGGAGATTGTGGCCGATTCAGCAAAGGGCAGACGCCGCCTGCGTTCACGCAACCGCGCTCTCAACTACAAAATCAATGGTCGTGGTGGTGGCAGTGGTGGTGGTGGTGGCAGTGGTGGTGGTGGTGGTCGTCGTCATGGTGGTGGTGATGTGTTCTCTGCTGGTGCTGGTTGGCCTGGTCTGAAATCTCTGATGGAGCCAGTGTCAACTAGTAAGCCACTACGCAGGTCCCACTCGCCTAGAGGCGTGCTTGAAGATCGGCCCAGCAGCCCCTACTTGCACGTTGACAGACACAATGACTATTCTGATCATCGAAGTAGTCCCGCGAGAGACACTGTACATCATCGACCTTGTACCATTCGCATTGATGGTGGATATTATGATATGCCGGTGGATAGCCGGCTGGAGCGCTCTCCCTCTCCCTCTCCCTACAGCAAACGACGCAGCGTTTTCGTCCACGAGAGAACTGTGTCAGGCAGCTCGCCTGCTAGGGGCAATATGTATTTGTCACCGAACTGCAGCCCAGCTGTGAGCCGTTTCTCATCCCCTGGTAACAGTCTCCAGCCTAGGCCAGACTGGCACTTTGACCATGGTCGCGATATGAGAAGTGTGTCACCACAATGCCATGCTGACAATACTTGGGAGAGGAGTAGCAGCAGTGAACCCATGCATCGTCCAGACGATTATGCACATGGCCGTGACATGCGCGACTTACAGCGTTCACCTTTTCAAGACGTCTCAGCGGAGTCCAGTCGTTCCGTATCTCCTCTGGAGCCTCCCTGGCCGTACAATGGACAGCAATCGTTGAGAACTGTTAGTCGAGGTGTTTCTGCTGGTGATGCTAAGCGTGCAGTAGTGCGCAATCCGTTTGAGGAAGACCCTGTGCGCCAACACCATCACCATGTGCGAGTGATTGATGTCAACAAGGATTACCGCCATAGCGTGAGCGCTCCGGTGATATATGACGATATCGACAGACAAGAGTTTGTGCCCTTGCAACGCACTGTGAACAATAACCGTTGGCTGTAAGTGCGTCTACAGTACATCCACGCCTATCCGCGCCGACGTAGTCCGATCAGTATTTGTTCTTCGACTAGGCAGTGTGTTTGGTCGTACGTAGCGGAGCTACGATCAGCACCCCACTCACTTTCATTGTAGATCGTCCATTCCAAGTCCGGAACTTTAAATCCTTTCGTTTGTCTTTGTTTGGTGCATTGTCATCTGGCCCGTCTCTTCCAATGCCAGCCACTTACCCTTGGCTACTTGGCTACTTTGTTTCGAAATCCACCCTGTGGATCTATGCCACTGACTTTCTTACCTTTTTTTTATTCACACAAAAGTAGCGCTCTCTACGTGTGTGTGTGTGTGTGTGTGTGTGTGTGTGTGTGTATGCTGCATGAACGTTGAATACAGTACTATTCCAAATAGGCTTACTTGAACTTGACACGAACATACTTATACTGAGATATAGTTGTTTTGCCAGAGTCAACAGGTTTTGAGAATATTTTTTATCTATTGCTTATCCATTCAGCTGGTTGTGTTTCTTAACGCAATTGTATAGCCGGTGGTAACGCGGACGTGCAAACTTTACTTTTTTTTTATCCATTCAGCCATCCCCTTGCTGGCTTAGGTCTGATATTTTGTGTGTGTGTGTGTGTGTGTGTGTGTGTGTGTTGGTGTGTGTGTTGGTGTGTGTGTTGGTGTGTGTGTGTGTGTGTGTGTGTGTGTGTGTGTGTGTGTGTGTGTGTGTGTGTGTGCGGGTGTGTGTGTGGTGTGTGTGTGGTGTGTGTGCGGGTGTGCGGGTGTGTGTGCGTGTGTGTGTGTGTGTGCGTACATGTGCGGGTGTGTCTGCCGCGTTGTGCATGCATGTACAGTAAAACCTGTCAAGGCGACCACTCCGATAAGCCGACCACCTATCCCAGAAGACCACTACAATCAGGACGAAGGGATGCTACTAGTATTTCCAGTCAAACAACCCTGGATAAGGAGACCACCTGGTAACGGAGACCACGTTTTGAAGGTCCCTCGAGCGGTCGTCCTGGACAGTTTTCACTGTATGTTCGTGCGCCCAGGTGTGGGTGTGGGTGCATACATGTGTGTGTGTGTGGAGTGTGTGCATGCATATCCATGTATGTATGTGTGTGTGTGTGTGGGTGGGTGGTGCAGTACCTGGCTGAATAATGGTGGCCAATTCCTCAGCCTTGCAAGCTGTTGAATGGTGCAACCCCAGCACAAGTTGCTATGGCTAGCATAGATTGTGCGCTGCCAGCCATAGGTGCGTGTGGGTTGTGTGTGCGTGTGTGTGTGTGTGTAACTAACTAACACGCGGCCCCGCCATGGACCCAAGCGTCGTTGGAGAGCTGTGGCAGCTTCAGACCTCCGTGCGACCGGTATCCCGGAGGCGCAATGGTACCACCTTGCTCAGGACTGGAGGGACTGGCGTGAGTGTAGCCGTCGGTAGCCACCAAGCCAGCCCCAACCAAGAGTGTTTGTCTGCGTCTGCGACTTTCGCCGTCCGAATGATTTATCCCGACACAAGAACTTCTGCCTCGCCTAATAGCTATCATCGCCTTCGGCTATGGGCTTTCTAATGGTCCAAAGGTGTGTGTGTGTGTGTGTGTATGTCACATCGTCCTGGCTGGCGGAGTTCCAGACCGCCGGATGGAGTGCCTTGGCCATCTCTGCAGAATGGAGGAAGAGCGCAGTCCGCGTCAGCTGCTGTTTGGTTGCTGCTTGCCGACCCCTCCTGCCTGTGGCCCTCGGAAGAAGACTGAGGTGGCGTGACACCATTCGAGCGGATGTTCGCTGCCTCGACCTGGGCGATGAGGTCTGGTTTGATCTGGCGAAGGAGCACGATGAATGGCGGGGGGGGGGGGGGGGGGTCCCGGGTTCCAGTCCTGGTGGGTTTGTCATTTTTTCTCTTTTCAGGCAGTTCACTTTCCCGACTGATCTTTTGAAATTACAAGTATTATAAGACTTTTCGTGTTAACATCACCAAGCAGGTTTGGCTATTTTTCGCTTAGGTTGTCCCTGTTTATTCTTTGCAAGAAGAAAAACAAAAATGTGGCGTTTCGAACAGTGAGAAGTGCCAGTTGTGTAAGGCCACCTAACCATGAGGCTGGCCGGATGATGCTGAGCTTCCGGCACGCATCTATTCTTTCCCTGCTGCTATGCGTACGCATACTCCCTGGCGCCTACAAGTCTCTCTGCAGTCGAGACTGGCACTCAGCCACAGATGCCCTCTGAACCCTCCCTGAACACCCTCTCCGCTTGCACCCTGGCTCCCCCCCCCCCTTTTTCTTTTTTTTACTCTATCACATGTATCATCTTTCCATTTTCTTTCCTCTATACAAATGTACTCCCCCCTCCCCTCCCCCTGTGCCTACTCCTCCCCACTTTTTGGTGCAATGAAGTGTTGCTGAAGCCGAGACCTCAGGTCGGCAGAGATGCTCCAGTTTCATCACCACAGTTGCGTCTGCAACCACCTCTATCATGCAGTATTCTGTTCTCGAGGTTCGTGGTTTCTCGGAAAAAATACTGTCTCTATACGGTACGCCTGCGGGCTGCCTGAGTCCCAGACTAGCCTCCCTGATGCGACACGGGGTGAGGCCAAGGCGCGCCTGTGTCGCTTCCGTGATCCAAATGCAAATGCTGCCTTGCCGGTCGTGCGCCGGGCTGCCACGTCAGCGACCAGCCTGGGGCTGACCCTGCCGCCTTGAGCGCCTCTAGTACAGTCGTCCCTCTCTAATCCGGCCCCTTTTGCAACGGCATTTTCTGCTGGATAAACAAGGTTGCTGGATTATCAAATCCTGCCCTCCAACCCGGCCCACATGTTATCATACATGTTTGTGTCATACGTCAAAACGTAGGGATTTTCTGTGTCAATCCAAGTACTTTGTTGAATGCATGTCTATAACATACACCAAGAGTACATAACCCAAGAGTGTGCAACTGCCTGCACAACCTCTATGCTGTGCTGCGACGGCAGAACTTCACATCACGTGACATGGTTCAAAAGGTTATGCTGGCAAACAGTGCAAAGTGACCACAAGAGAGTTGTACCCAAAGCTGGGCTGCGTACAACCCAGTATCTATCATGCACTAGAGTGCACGGGTTCATCACGTGATGTGAAGTTCTGCCGTCGCAGACCCCATAGCTGGAGTTGCACACTCTTGTTTATCTACTCTTGCATACACTTAGGAATATCCTATGTACTGGCATAGGATATTCCCAAGTGTATGTTGCATGTGTTGTGTATCTTACAATGGTCCCTGACAGTCTGCGATGTACAGTTGTACATCGCAGACTGTCAGGGATTAGAAAATCGACTTATGTATAGCTTGAGTGGTTTGTTGCAGAAAATCGCTGCTGGAGGCGGAATTCAAGTGCCGGATTAAAGCGTAGAAAATGAACTGAAGAAATCCGTTTTGCCAGAAAGTGTGCTGGTTTGCAAGGGTGCTGGATAAAAACGTGCCGGATTAGAGAGGGACGCATGTAACTGTAATCCCATGGACAGCCCACTGGGCTGCCGAATACGCCACTGGCCTGAGGACAGCCCCTCATACCATGCCGCGCTGCCGGGAGCCCAGCTCAGGTCGTACTTGGCAGCGGCGTGAGCTGGGCGCGGTGAGGGTTGGTGATAACTACAGTTTCCTCCTCCGGAAGCTTCCATTTTATCACTCTCCCCACATGACAGCGAACACCCTCCAGTACCCAGTACCCACACAGAATACTGTGTGTAACAATACATGAAGCAGTGCCTCCCGAAATCATGGGGGCAGCCTCACCGCTCGCAACTCCCTATTCCTGGCTTCCGTCGGCTGCTTGTAGGCCTGGAATGGCATGCCTGATTTGGTGTGCACGTATCTCTCGCAGGCTGAGCTTGGCCACCTTCCGGCGACCTGGAGCTGCCATTCTGGCACCCTCCTGCCTGCTAGCCCTGTAGCGCCGCCCTTCCGCAGCAAGTGGCTCCGAAGGGCCGGGTTCCACTGCGGCTTGAAACGTCATAATTACCATAGTGACCGCGGCTCGAGCTGGAGCAGCTGTTGCAAAAGAAGGATTCACGAGCCGGATTCGAACCCAGCACCCCTGTCTTTCCGGGACAGTGCCCTACCGATTAGGCTACCGGGGATCACACTCTCGAGCTCATGGGTCCTTCTTGCTACACTGCTCCCCCGCCCCAACAGGCTGTGTCTTCGCGCCATACCTACTCGCGGCGTCACGATGGGTCAAGGGTTCGAGTTCCTTATTGGGCGCCAATGTTGCAAAATAAGGATCCACGAGCGGGATTCGAACCCAGCACCCCTGTCTTTCCGGGAATTAGGCTACCAGGGATCACACACACTCATGGGTCCTTCTTGCTACACAGCGAGGCCGCGGCTCGCCGCGAGCTTTCGCTACGATACTTGATCAAAAACTGCGAGCCGCGGTCGCGGTTCAACCTGCCACCCGTACTTTGCATTGCTTTGTACGCGAGAATTTTAAAATTCAAATTTTAATTCGTTGAGCTGGCCAGAACACGGGGATTTTTTGATTTCGCTCGCGCGCAGGCAGGTAAAACGTCATCAAAAAACGTGGAGCACGACCGCGGTACCGCGAATGTCAGTGGAACCGCGCTGCTCCGCTGCATGCAGCCAAGTGCCGCGGCGCAGCGGAGCCGCAGTGGAACGCGGCCCTAACACTCCGGGGGAGAGCCCTCTCCAGCCAGGCATTCACGTCCCGGTTGGTCAGCTGATCGCCGTTGTCGAACATATAGAATGCGCTCTCTTCAGCTGACCAGGAGCGACCAGCGACATAGCGCGTGATGGCCTCCACTGGGCAGATTTCTAGGTCTACTCTGCGATGGAGGACAACTGTGCCTGCACTGCCGGACTGGGTTGTCTTGGTTACTCCGAGGATAATTCGGACCTCGTTTTCCGAGACAGACACATTGCTCCTACTCAGTGACCCGTGCCTTGCTTGGGCGACAAATGCCGTGACGTGTGCAGCTCAGATGGGTTGCTATCACGGCGGAATTCCGTGATTATATCATTTTAGTGATGTAGTGCGTACAAGCAGGATTCAAGCAAGTCTCTTTCTGCACAACTGCAGCTCAGTTGTACGCACTATACCACTTCCCGCCTCAAATCAGCACCAAATATGATGTAATCACGGAATTCCGCCGTGACAGACACCCATAGTGGAAAAAGCCCCAAGCTGCACCCTTGTTTTTCATGTACTCTTGCCGCAAGGTATACCATGACTGTATCCTTCTCTGCCGTTGGCTGCGCCGCCCCTGGGTTGTCTCAGTCAATGGGAGTGGGGGCTCCGCCGCACTTCTGGGGATGCTGGGCCCCGATGGCGCTCTCTCAGGACAATCGCCTGTAGGCGGTGGGACATCTGGCCGGTAGGTTTGATATGGGCGCAGAAACCTTCTATTGCGCCAGTACACACGGCCGCTGGTCAGTTTGACATAGTAGTTGCGTCACCTTCCAATGGTGACAACTTGCCCTCGCAGTGTCCACCGCTTGGAACGTGGGTCCTGAATGTCCACCGTCTCGCCGATCTTCAGGTTGCCCAGCGGGCTCGCGGAGGCGTTATACCGCGCATCGCTCTGCTCTCGGGTAGCCGAACGTTTTCCG